CGTGAGGGGGCGGCGGAGGGGGCGGCGAGCCCTCGGCTCCGCTGAGTTTGCCGGAGGTTAATTCATTCGGCCTTAGCCCTCTTCGCTGCGTTGCTTCAATCCACCTTGGCTAAGCCCGCTTCGCCTAGTGCCAAAAAATCTAAATGGTGGAGACGGGACGTCCCGCGCTCACGCCCCCGCTTCGTCCGACCGGAGCCGCGGGAAGGTCCCGGGGAAGACGGTGAGGCCAGGCCCGGTGCTGCAGCCACCCTCTCTGGCTGTGGCAGGTGGCGGGGCCGCCATCTGTCCCCCGGGGCTGAGGGCATTAGCAGAGTGTCCAGTGCCGCCCCTGGAAGGGCCCTCTGCCTTCGCTACCTCACAAAACGGCGCTCCAGTATTTATAGCTCCTCAGGCTGCGGGCATGGGGTGTTTTGGGATATGTGCTAACTGTCTAACAAATGAAATCAGCTGAGAAAATTGCAGAACAGAGCTACTTACAATTATTTCTGTAGTGGTTTTCAAAGCTGTGATCTCTGACAGATGATCTGGGGAAGCAGGGAGTGCTCTTTGAAAAGATCTAGTACCGGAAGAAACTGGGGAGAGGGGAAGGTGGGGGGTAGGGGGAAAGATATGAGGTGGGCATCTGAATGTGAGGTGGGAGAAAGAGCCAATTAGGGTGGCACATAATTCACAGGAGAAGCACTTTCACCGAGGTCCCTGGAGCCAAATCACAGGGGAGCACTGAGGCACTATGAATTAAGTGGGAACTCATTGCTAATTCAGAGTAGAAACATCTTCTTTATTGACCTTAATTCTAGACAAAGAAAACAATGATAAACCCAGTGGAAATCCTGTCCTGGGTGATAAACTTCTGCCCTCTGAAACAGATGCCTGTTCTGCTGCGCTCTCCCTTTCTCTATTAACTCTTCTCTCCTTCACCTGTGATCACATTTTTGAGTCATGTTTTTCTGAGAACTGCAGAATATGAGTTGCCTGAGGAGAAAAAAGCACAAAGTCCAGTATGGACTTGCCAAGAGACCTTTTCTTTTGTGCCGTGACCAGAGGGATTGGGGGAAGTTTGCCATGTTTCTGAAGCTGATGCAGATAGAAGCATTTTCTCAATGAGAGAGACTGCATTGCATTGATCTTTGCCATATTGCTTTGTGTTTTAGTATCCAAACTGGGATCTAGCAGTCATCTGTTCCACTTGTCAATACAATGAGCTCCTAGGTGATGAGCTATTCTCACATTTTTGAATGATATCAAAGTCCATGAAGATTCCCATGTATTTTCTTTGTGGAGTGAGGTCCCAGCTTAGCCCTCCAGAGTGCCTGCCAAGGTACATTTGCCTGCTGCCCTGTCTTTCTGGTGGCATCCCCCATCCTGCCTTCTGACTGGGCTCTGGTTGTCCTGGGCCGCTTGGGTTGCTTTTATTCATGCCCTCCCTCATTTCCTTCTCTCTGCAGAGGCACGGCTGGGTCTCTGACAAGCAGACCATGTGAGTGCACTCTGCCCTGTAATCCAATAGGACATGTGCACTGTGCGTGCTACAGGCTGGGCCTTATGTATAGCGAAGGCCTCTGTTTTCGGTCCAGAAGGCTGATTAGGAGAGACACGGTGCAAAGAGAGAGCAATGTTGTGGCAGAGCCCTGTCCTGCTTCATTTCACGTAGGATATTGCCTTTAGTTCCCTGTTGTTGGTTTGGAGGATGCACAGAGCAGCCCTGAGCCACCACAGCTCCCTGCACAGTCACTGCCTGTGTTAGTACAAGCCAAGTGAGTCCGGTCAGGCGTCATGGTGTGCTGAGCTGACAGCACAGGACTAAAAGGTTACAACATCTTCACATTTGTCTTCCCACCTCCTCACTCCCATCCTCTGCCAGCTTTGCTGTATTGATTCCAGCGTCAGTGAATTAAGAAACTGTCGCAAGCAATGGTGAGTTATACAGTCAAGGTGGGAAAGAACTGTTTCCTAAGAAAAGATCTGAGAGAGAAAATGCTATTTAAATTGAAGAGTGGGTCAAGAGACCTGCCAGGAGAGAGGATGAATGTCTCTCCTGCAGACTTGGAGAGACAATGTGGCCTCAGGATATCTTATCAAATACAAATTATGGAGGACAGAGAATACGAGGACAGAGGGAAATAACGTGCACAGTCTATACACATTAGAGACAATTTATAAAGCAGTTTGAGAAATTTGGATAGAAGATTCTTTATCAGCATAAGTGTTCATCAATGATTGTTCAGTAAAGTGGTGATGCTAGGGAGGTGCAGGAGGAATTCTGAGGTCTCCTTTTCCCAGCTCGTGTTTGTTACATGTGGTAGTGTGCAATGTGGAGGGGTTATTCCCAATCAGTCCGGGTTGGTTTTATTGCCATTTTAGTTCATGATTTGACCTTTTACTACAGGCTTGAAGATCTAGACCCTCATTTTAGATTTATATGGCATTTGTAATCTCCAGACTGTGAGTTAGATTGCGTTTATATTGTATAGAATTAATTGTGCTAATAAGCTGCAGTAGACATTGTGATTAAAGCGTATGTTTTATTGTATGCAGCCAGCTCTTAGAGTTTGTATGTATTTTCTATAATTAAAATTACCAGCAAATGTGTTCACTGAAAAAACATATATCAGTTAGTGAATCCTTGCACTCTTTTTACGTAGCATGTTTCCATTTTATAGATGAGGAAACTGAGGTACAGGGGGATTAAACGATTTGTTCATAGTAAATAGCTGTCAGTCTGGAGATACAGAGCAAGGACATAATGTGAGTAGAGGGAACCAGCGTATTAGCGCATATTTTGTGTTGGAGTATCGGTCTTGTATGTTGCTCATGCATAAGGTAGCCAAGTAATGACATGCTGGAGTAAAATTAGGATGCACTGGTACTCCATCCTTGTGATACCACAATTTGATCTTCCCTGCGTAGCCAAAATCATTATTTTTGCTTCCCCCTGGAAGCACGGAACTGAATTTGCCATCAGGTGCGGTATCAGAGTTGAGGGTGACAACTACATTTAGTTCCACTGTATGCACATTGCATCCCCAGATAACCCCGCAGTCGAAAATACAAAACAATCTGGCTAAAATTAAAACTGCTTCTTAAATCCTCTGTCTGATGTTGCCTGAAGCTTTTTGTTCAGTTTATCTTCACAAGGTCACTGAGACAGAAGAGTGCATTCTCTGAGCACGTTGGCCTGGAGCCTTTCATGCAGATGCTTTCATTTAACATTTGGGACATTCTCCTTCTCCCTTCGATCCCTTCCTTTTTACTCCCCCATTTTCTATATCTCTCGCGCGGCTCGGCGTGAGGGGGCGGCGGAGGGGGCGGCGAGCCCTCGGCTCCGCTGAGTTTGCCGGAGGTTAATTCATTCGGCCTTAGCCCTCTTCGCTGCGTTGCTTCAATCCACCTTGGCTAAGCCCGCTTCGCCTAGTGCCAAAAAATCTAAATGGTGGAGACGGGACGTCCCGCGCTCACGCCCCCGCTTCGTCCGACCGGAGCCGCGGGAAGGTCCCGGGGAAGACGGTGAGGCCAGGCCCGGTGCTGCAGCCACCCTCTCTGGCTGTGGCAGGTGGCGGGGCCGCCATCTGTCCCCCGGGGCTGAGGGCATTAGCAGAGTGTCCAGTGCCGCCCCTGGAAGGGCCCTCTGCCTTCGCTACCTCACAAAACGGCGCTCCAGTATTTATAGCTCCTCAGGCTGCGGGCATGGGGTGTTTTGGGATATGTGCTAACTGTCTAACAAATGAAATCAGCTGAGAAAATTGCAGAACAGAGCTACTTACAATTATTTCTGTAGTGGTTTTCAAAGCTGTGATCTCTGACAGATGATCTGGGGAAGCAGGGAGTGCTCTTTGAAAAGCTCTAGTACCGGAAGAAACTGGGGAGAGGGGAAGGTGGGGGGTAGGGGGAAAGATATGAGGTGGGCATCTGAATGTGAGGTGGGAGAAAGAGCCAATTAGGGTGGCACATAATTCACAGGAGAAGCACTTTCACCGAGGTCCCTGGAGCCAAATCACAGGGGAGCACTGAGGCACTATGAATTAAGTGGGAACTCATTGCTAATTCAGAGTAGAAACATCTTCTTTATTGACCTTAATTCTAGACAAAGAAAACAATGATAAACCCAGTGGAAATCCTGTCCTGGGTGATAAACTTCTGCCCTCTGAAACAGATGCCTGTTCTGCTGCGCTCTCCCTTTCTCTATTAACTCTTCTCTCCTTCACCTGTGATCACATTTTTGAGTCATGTTTTTCTGAGAACTGCAGAATATGAGTTGCCTGAGGAGAAAAAAGCACAAAGTCCAGTATGGACTTGCCAAGAGACCTTTTCTTTTGTGCCGTGACCAGAGGGATTGGGGGAAGTTTGCCATGTTTCTGAAGCTGATGCAGATAGAAGCATTTTCTCAATGAGAGAGACTGCATTGCATTGATCTTTGCCATATTGCTTTGTGTTTTAGTATCCAAACTGGGATCTAGCAGTCATCTGTTCCACTTGTCAATACAATGAGCTCCTAGGTGATGAGCTATTCTCACATTTTTGAATGATATCAAAGTCCATGAAGATTCCCATGTATTTTCTTTGTGGAGTGAGGTCCCAGCTTAGCCTTCCAGAGTGCCTGCCAAGGTACATTTGCCTGCTGCCCTGTCTTTCTGGTGGCATCCCCCATCCTGCCTTCTGACTGGGCTCTGGTTGTCCTGGGCCGCTTGGGTTGCTTTTATTCATGCCCTCCCTCATTTCCTTCTCTCTGCAGAGGCACGGCTGGGTCTCTGACAAGCAGACCATGTGAGTGCACTCTGCCCTGTAATCCAATAGGACATGTGCACTGTGCGTGCTACAGGCTGGGCCTTATGTATAGCGAAGGCCTCTGTTTTCGGTCCAGAAGGCTGATTAGGAGAGACACGGTGCAAAGAGAGAGCAATGTTGTGGCAGAGCCCTGTCCTGCTTCATTTCACGTAGGATATTGCCTTTAGTTCCCTGTTGTTGGTTTGGAGGATGCACAGAGCAGCCCTGAGCCACCACAGCTCCCTGCACAGTCACTGCCTGTGTTAGTACAAGCCAAGTGAGTCCGGTCAGGCGTCATGGTGTGCTGAGCTGACAGCACAGGACTAAAAGGTTACAACATCTTCACATTTGTCTTCCCACCTCCTCACTCCCATCCTCTGCCAGCTTTGCTGTATTGATTCCAGCGTCAGTGAATTAAGAAACTGTCGCAAGCAATGGTGAGTTATACAGTCAAGGTGGGAAAGAACTGTTTCCTAAGAAAAGATCTGAGAGAGAAAATGCTATTTAAATTGAAGAGTGGG